TCACTATATCCTTTGAAGTTGAATCAATCCCAGAAAACATGGAGAAAGATCACTTCTTGGAAATAGCTTAACAGTAAAACAGTATTTTACCTTTACTAAGCTAGAGTGTTACTAGAAACCAACAGCGCTCTAGGAACACTGGGCCAAATAACCGTAATCCAATGTAATGTAGGATCTTCGAGTCTCTGACAGCAGGTATCACTGAAAGCTGCCTTAACAGCATCAACATGCTTGGTTCCATCTCTCTGATCAATCCGCTCGCATCGCTTCCTAAGGTGGCAATTGAGTCGTTGGAAACATTCATCATTTTCGGGACCAGAGAAAGCCCAGGACAGGACATAGCCATACTGATCCCAAACCACATGCAAGCATTTGGTTTCTTCAGAAGATTGCTTGTCATTCTTTGTTTTTGACAAGAATCTAAATGTTCCATCCATCTTGATGCTGTCACCAGGAACTCTATTGAACAGGTCTCTCTGCAAGTAAGGAAAGACCAAATCAAATGACTTGTGAAAGATTTGAATTATAGTATCAACAGACTTAGGTGGCCCAAACACAGATCTATAGTTTTTGACACTAAAGTCTGGCCAATTCAAATCTGCAGATTGTGTTTTGAGGAAGGCAACATAGGCAGAGATACTGTTCGATACAGATCTCTCAAATGCATCATGCATGTGCCTAAGCAATTCAGAGAAATTGGTCTCATCTCTCAAGACTTCAAAAGCAAGGCCTGATGTGAACATAATGGCACCACCACCTCCATCTTCAGCTTCAGTGTAGAGATGTTGAGCATACTTCTGCAGCAATTCTTTAGGATATAAAGAAAGGACTCCATGACTGTAGCCAAGGATGGTGTGGGAGGACACTTTGTCTGAATCGTCTCCTTTGGCTGTCGATGGGTTGCCTCTGCACTGTGGATTGGAGCACTTGATTCGGTGACAATAGATGGGAATGGAGGCTCTATAGTCGGCAATGGCTCTGTGTTTACCAGCTTTGAGGCCAGATTTGTCCGGGAAGCTCACATGCTTATTGGATTTGCACCATGGGCAAGGTGTCTTCACTCCAACACGTGTCTTTCCGTCTTTTCCTTCATATTCATAGCAGAACTTTGGATCCTTTCTGAGGATAGCTCTATCAAAAATCTCAGGTAGAAATAGCAGCATTTTGGCGGAGCAAGGGACCTCAAACTCTTTTGCTGCCAGTGCCATATTATTGGGTGTCCATCTCGCAGAAGCCGTTAGTGCTCCCAACAGAGTTCGTTGACCGCCAGCTTCTTTGCGTTTCAATGCCCTCATCACTGGATTTGTCGCATGATGAATTGCGCCTTGCAAAAAGTGCTGGTTGAGATGTTGCGTCAATCCTTTGGCGGCCCCCGTCAAATATTTGCGTTCCTTTACTGACTGTCGTCCACTCAAACCTGGTGGAACAAGATAAACCTCGCCATTGTCGTCTACCAAGGGAAATTCTTTAGATCTGTACATAGCACGGATATAGAGATCCTGCCCAGAGAGATCTTCGAGCCTCTTCTTTGTTAATGGCATCGTATCGTTGACGACTTAGTACTGGTATTGACTGGTATTGACTTAGTCAGTGTTGGCTTTATCAGAATGACTGTAATGGTAATGGATGGGATGGTATTATGCTGACGAGTTGAGTTGTAATGGGTGGATGGTATTTTATGCTGACGAGCAAGTTGACGAGATCTGAGATCTCGTTTCGTGGTAAGCCGGCAGGTCTATGCAGTTTCGCGCATATGCGCGATATGGCGCTGAGAGGGTTCCAAGTGGAAGCTCTCTGAAAATCATAAAACGTCCGAGCTACACCATTTTGAACTGTGGCTCAGTACCTGGCAAGTGGATCCACTACACCATGCATGGTGTAAAAAGAATACCACAGATTTCCCACTTCACAGGTTGGAAATTGCGTGTTACGTTAGCTCATCGTTGGATTGCAAGACTTCCGCTCTTTGGAATTGCTCGGTCGAGACGCATGACAAACAGCACAGATAATATTGGCTTTGTCAAGTTACTGGACGGGGTTGAGGTTCCCGTAAAGACTCTCCCTTCCCCAACCGATATTGTTATTGGCCATGGACTGGGAAGCGATCCAAGCGAGAAACATTTCTACAATGACATTTCCTACGATCTTTGGACAGACGCCCTGTCAAATCTTTCGTCGGCTTCCTCCAATGGCACTGCAGTTTTCTACACAAGTCGAGGGCATGGCGACTCCCGTGGTTGGGAAAAGTGCCCCACCAGTACATTTCAATGGCCCAGTTTGGCAGAGGACATGTGGATAGTGGCTAATACTTTCTTTCATGACAGTCCTTTTGTTGTCCTCGGACAATCCATGGGTTCAGCAGCGGCTCTGTACATGGCAATATCCCACCCCAACCGCCTTCGGGGACTCATTCTGATTCGACCTCCACGAGCGTGGGAAGCACGGATAAAAGCTTCTCATTCATTTGTAGAAGCAGCGGAAGCATTGACGCAACATAAAAAAGACACTTCATTTCACATTTCACCTGCCGCTCTTGGCCGCTTCCACAACTGACTTGCCAACCACTGGGTACGAAAAGATTGCATGCCCCGTTCTGATTCTCTCACATGGCCAAGACGAAGCTCATCCCGTGGAAACGGGAAGGATCTTGAGCGAAAAGATTCCTCAGTCTCGACTGGAAGTGGCAGCGAATGAAGAGGAAGCTCGAAATATTTGGCCCAAAATTATTGCGAGTTGGATGCAGAAAGAAGGATTGGTTGTGGGTGGTGGGAATGATGTTACTGCTGCGAAACAGCAATCGAATGTGTGATCCGGTCCTGACGTTATCGCAGGTGATTTCGCCGTCTATTTTGAGCGTTTGTATCGTAGGCGAGGTGGTCCTTGTTCCTGCTTCTTGGCTGGTTGTCTACACCGTAGCCTTGCTCATCGTCTGTATGGTTTTCCGTCTCGGCGGGCTAGCCGGTGGGCGCTGTGTAATTCTGGTGTCGTGCCTGAGCTGTGCAGTGGCAACGACGATGCCACCAGTCGACCAAGGGACCGACCAGGGCAGCGTCGTCATCACCAGGAGCCATGTGCTCTCCCCTCATCGTCATGCATAAGCAAAGCAAGCCCTGTTGCAGAAGTGACATCCATTGATGACCGCTTTCCCCCTGGGAACCACACCAAGAGGCCCTGCTCTCTCTCTAAGATCGTAGTACTAGCTAGAAGAAGAGATAGGAGTTGTTTTGTGTAAGACTATGTAAGCGTGTGTATTACATTTATTGTTACCTAGCTAATATCTTTTTGCTTTGGTAGCAGGCATTTTCTATCGAAACATTTGCCATCATTCATGCAGCGGAACAGAAAACAAGGTAGCGGATCGGAGCGTTGTTGGTCGATATTCAGTTGTTTGTGTGTATTTGGCAACCTAGCTAGTAGGAGCGGGCATCCGTGCATAGTAGCGCCAAATGATATGCACGTCCGATTACATCACCGCCTGCTGTTGTAATCTTGCCTTGGTTGCCAAATGTTGCCTCCTGCAGTACTCTTGGAAAATGTCATTCTTGTGATGATGTGTCTGGTCATGATGGTGGTGGTGGCTGTAGCGACGCGACGAAGAGTAGTGGCTTGTATTGCTGTTGCTGCTACCCGACATGACGCTGCCGCCACTGGAACCATGCAGGTTGGTGCTGCGCAGGGACTCCTTGTATACTGCTCTTGCTTCCTTGGCATCGGTGGCGGCAAGTCGTTGCGCTCGTTCTCGACAGTGACGACTGTGTCGAGCAGCATACTGTTGTAGATCGCCATCAGGGTCGGTGACGGTGCCTCGACGGGATGTCCAGGAGTCGAGCTGAATCTGACGTTGCTTCTCCAGTACCTTGATCATGAACGCTCTTCTCGTTTCCTGTCGAGAACTGAGGTTGCCCCTTTTGGCGTGTTCCAGGCCTCGCCAGCACACTTCTTCTTCGGTTTCACTGTCCATAAAGACCACATTGGTGGAACCGCCACTGTTGCGATTGTCAATCACTCGTTGCGCCAGCACTTTGGTCCTGGCACGATAGGCTTCTCGTTCTTCGTGGGAAAACCACAATTCCTTGCGTTCTGCCTTGGACAGAGAGATAGTCTCGTAGGTGTGCCAGGTGTTGGTACCGAAATGGACCCGTCTCTTGAGCTTGGCAAACAGCTTGCTGGCAGCAGAGATGGCGTTGGTGGGCGTGAGCAGCGATGATGATGGCACCACGACACTCCCACTGCTACTACTGCCAATGCTGGACGGAGGATCCGCAGAGGGTGCCGGAGGTACCACATAACCATGGCTGTCTTCATCGTCATCATCGGAATCATCTTCCGATTCTGCAAAGGTAGGGGACGGTGGGGCGCTCACTTCAATGTCAATGCGAGACGGGACATCGTCGTGGACATAAGTCAACACGACGGGTTGTCCCCAGACACTGCTGATACTGCTTTCCTTCTTTCTGTGTTTCCGGACCAATGCTTCTGGTTTGGGTGGTGCATTCTCCTTTTCTGTGTTTTGCTTGGGACGAAGCACGGTAGTGTCGACCGAAGCAGAAGACGATGAAGAAGCAGTAGTCGTGGTGCTGGTAGGACTCGTTGTTCTTGTCGGTGTGTCAATGACAGAAGACGGCGACGTGGTGATGGGTACCTTCTTGGGCTGTCCTTGCTGCTTGGGGATGGTAGTCCAGACGGATGAAATTGGCGAAGCTCTTCCCTGATGAGCACTGCTCAGTTCTTCCTTGGATGGTGGAATTGGCATACTGGGAGCTGTGCTGTGGAGCCAAATCGCCGACGGCGTTCGATGCTGGAACGTCAATGGACTGGAAGTGGGTGATACCGATGTTGCCTTGCTGTGATTGCCGCTGCTGGAGATGGACGCCTTGCTGCTAGCACTGCTGCTAGCACTACTGGCAACTCGTTTCTTGGTGTTCCTCTTCTTCTTGGTAGGGCATTGAAATTGCAGTCCACAGCAAATTTGACTATCCGGACGTGACAGATAGACCTTGACACCAAAGGGCTCAAACCGTTGGGTGGCACGTCGTTGCAGTTCTTGCCATCCCTTCTTGGTATTGTTAACGTTGGCTTCCTTGGCACGCTGCAGCTTTTCCATTTTGACACGAATGTGATTGGCAGTGGTACTGCTGTTGACCGCACTATTCTTCTCGACGACCGAACTAAGGTTGGTGGACTGCATAAACGTGAGTGACTTTTGGCACAATCGTAGCTCTCGCTCATGTAATTGGTTCAAGTGTTCTCGTTCCTTGGCCCGTTGATTCACACCAAACCCGTAGTCCCAAATAGCGACCCAATCGTCCAGAACGACGCCGGTATCTGCGAGTACCGAAGGGAGCTTTCCACGGGGTAGATTCCAAGAAGCTCTTCGGGAGTCGTAGTGCAAGTGGACGGTGTCAGTACTATTGTCACTGTTGTTACTGCTGGTGGTAGTGGTGGTGGGAGAATCACTACTACTCGGATTGTTGCGAGGATGATGAAGTTGCAGTTCCAAGACAAAGGGCGGCATGTGCTTGTTGCTGCTTGTTTTGCCATTCTTGTGTGCCGTGGTGGTGCCCTTGGGTACCGTCGCCTTGGTATTGGGAAAGAGTCGTTCCGCCTGTCGCTGCAAACAGTCAAAGTCTCGTAGAGTTTGTTCATTGAGCTTGGAGATTTCGGTTTGTCGTTCTTGTTGGCGATAATCCGAGAGATTTCCCTTGTCGATATCCGTCTTTAGCTTTTTCTTCATGATTCCACGGACACTGGCTCTCTCGACCACACTCTGTGCGTAGTCCCAAAAGTGCATCCAGAGGGCATGAGGGACGCCTTGTGCTTTGAGTGGCGATGGGACCGATCCACGGGGGAGATTCCAAGTCTCATCGGAGTAGTCGAATTCAAACGACAAGAAGAAAGGGTTGCTCATGGCTGGACTGTTGTTCTGTGCTAGCTAGGGCTGTGCTAGAGATGGATGAGAGATGATAATGGGTATGGCACCCAATGGGGAGGGTATCCTGGCTTTTTCGGCTGCTGCTTTTAATGATTTGGTTCTTGTGTTTCTTGCTGAATGGGATTGTTGGCAGCAGCTTTTAGATAGTTGGTAAGAGAGTAATGGTTTGGATTGGATTGGATTGACGCAATAGTAGCGGCAGTCTTTTGTGTTGGGTATATGGCCCCTTCGCGTTATCGAATTGTGTTGGATGCAGATGATTACTCGGCTGGCGCCCAAAAATTGCCGTACCGTGTGGTACGTAGCACGTCCCGTCTGATCCCACTTGGACGGGTAGTCGACGGATACTTACATAGCCAAGATTGGATTACTTAGCCAAAAACACTCGTATTTGGCGAAACCATGGGTGCACCCGTCGCGAAGGTGGAACTAGCGCAACATTTTTGTCGCTCGACTGAGAATTCAGCGATCTAGGGAGCCGAAGCCTCAAGCTACAGTTGATACTGATACTACAGGTAACAGTTGAAAGGAACTGGTGGAAAACGCCGCCAACAGATGCCACTAATAAATCACTTGGTACCGTATTTTCCTTGTAGCGACATTTGCTTCAAGCCCTTGCTAACAATACGGAACGGTCCAACCTGCATGCACTGTTATTTCAGCAGTTAGTCTTGGCTTGGACCTACGATTGAGTCGCCAAGATCATTCCTCCTGCAGCTTCAGCAACATTCAAGTCATTGACGATCCTACCAAGCAAGCAAACAAGCAATCGAGTGAGTGAGGGATACTAACAAGAATAATGAGAGCATCCATACCGGTACGATATGTGGTGTTTGGCATCGTGCTCTTCTTGGTAGGTCTTTTGTTTCGCGGGGGAATGGACTTGACCTTGCCGCCAAACTCTAGTTCAAGTACCTTGGCCATGGAAGCGAGCATCAACTACCCAGGAGCCACGAGGGTCCGAAACGAGTTTCGCTCTCGACGACTACATAATGATACCTTTTGGCGCATGTCATACCCGTTAGTACTCTCGGGGCCCATCTTGAAACATGGAGAGACTCAGATTATGGAGTACTCTGGTACCGTTTGCTTCACAGGGGCTTGCGAAGGAGTGAAGCTTGATCGTCCACCTAAACTGATACAGGGAGATGTCATTGCCATGCCTTGTAGTGGCCATTACTTTCATTTTGTCTTTGAAACTGCTACTATGCTAGAAGCATTACATATTCATGGAATGCTCGAGGAATTCCCCGATGCTACTCTACTTTGTTACGATGCGATACCTTCCCCCAGTAGTCGGCAAATGCTGGAGCTCATGGGGATACCCCTGCCGGGGCGTATTGAACTGGGCAAGCCAGATGTCTTGTACCAGGCCACGGGACTTATGATCGTCCCACCCTTTCACAACTATCACTACCATCGGGAACCGTATTCATCGTACAATCAGTGGTTGCTGCAATCGATTCGTTCTCGAATGACACCATCCAAACTCGTAACGAATACTAGTCGTACTATTACTAGTGACAATGATGGTAAAGGCCGGGCAATCTTTGTGTCACGAAAGGGGTATCGTCGGGGGATACAACAGGAAGAGGAACTGTTTACAAAGTTGAAGACAGTCCTACCTCATTTGGAGAGTATCCTTCCAGATGACTTCTCTGTCGCAGAACAAGCCAACTTATTTGCTTCTGCCGATTTGATTATCTCACCACATGGGGCATCTCTGACCAACTTGATTTTTGCCGATTGGTCCAAGGTGACTGTAGTGGAGGTCACCCCTGTGACTAGAGCTGCGAGCTTTCGAATGGACACAGGGGTACAACGACACTATCTGTTTACTTGTCCTTCCGAGCCGGGGGAAAAGGATCTCTGGGACAAGCATCTGGATTGTGATGTAGATAACATGGTAGACGTGATCAAGACGGATGTCTTGGTGCATTCCCATAATGCGACCTGGCGCCAAATTGAACCAAAACGAAACATTCCTGGGACACTGTCACCACCAGCACCCAAAGAGGCAACGAAACAATAAAGTCGATCCCGACTTTTGTACATTAGATAGCCTCCATCCAATCCAGTACAGGTTAAGTCCCTTATGATACCTTGAATCAGAGTTATAGTCTGGATGGTATACCGGTAGATGTGCAGGGTAGCCAAAACTTCGAGCCGCCATCAGGCTCCAGGAATTTGAGAGAGAAACTTGACCAGGTGTAGCGCAGGCATTGGGCTGTGTGGATGTTTGTCCAGGAGTATGGATGGGTGTTTGGTGTTGGGACGACATGGAGAGGGACTGGTGAGTTGAACCCGATAGGCGTACAGGAGCACCGGCAACGCCTGTTGGGCCTTGAGGAGATGAATGAAACAAGGAGAAGGATCACTCATGCTCAAAAAGTCAGATACAGCATAGCTGTCTACAAGCCCTATCATACAGGTATGGTACACCTGGCATGCATGCTATAATCATTTGTTAGAAACCCATTTATGTATGTAGTAAGAAATCAAAACAATCAACAAAAATGACACAGCTGTATGTATTGGTGTATTCCTCTTTTGCTTTGTGCCGTCATGAACGAACGAACGGCTTGGCAAAACACTCTCTTAGTTAGTACTTTTTTGCTTTTCATTTCATTTTTTCTCATCACCACCCTTTGCCAGGTTGATATGGACCCCGTAAGGAATCCAAAAAGTTGAAGAACCAACCAAACAGACAATCATTGGTCTTGTCTTCCACGCAAAATCCCGGTGGGTTGGCCGACATTTCGCAAATCATCGACCGGACCCAGGGCGTGTAAGTCGACATGCGTGTGTAGACATCCACGGTTTGATCTTCACAATTCCCCTGTCCGGGATTGGTAAAGGACGAGGACAATCCCAGGACGACTCTGGTACCTGGTTCCACGGCGGGTGCACCGAAATCTCCAAAACAGGTCGCTTGCTCGGGATTGGCATCTCCGCAAATGTGAAACTCGGGTCGATAGAATGCGAATCGATTAAAGCAATTTTCGACGTTGAAATAGAACAATCCTTGCAAGACATCGGGATCGGGGTAATTGACGTTGTCAACCTGTCCAAATCCAGCTACAAAGAGCACGTCAAAATCTGTTTGCGGTTTCATGGGATCTTCGTTCATGAGAGCCACCGTGTTGGTAAGGGAACTGTTGAGTTTCAGGACTGCAATATCGTGTCCTAACCAAGGTCTTTCCTGGTCAAAGTCGGGATGGATTTGCCCCCCACCGACAGGAACCACGGTTCCTCCTCCTGCTGGCTCGAGAGAGCCAATTCGGACGGCCGAGGGAAATCTTCCACCGAACAGAAAGGGGTCGGTAATGCAGGCCGCGGTGGTAATGACAATGTCGGCATGGACCAGGATAACCTGACAAAGAAAAAAATCATCATCGAGGCCAAGATACGGAATTGGAATTTCCACGGGCTCTCCTCCACGGATTTGAGGATCCCAATCGTCTGGTAGCTCCCACACAAGAGAACCTGGATCAAGCACTTTTTCTACTTCGTCTTCTTCTTCTTGGACCACCTCGTCTTGGTCGACTTCTTCTTGGCCTCGTCGATGCAGCAGCTCTGGTCTGGTGACCCCTTGGGCGCCCAACAACAGCGTCAACAAGTACGAAACAAGCAATGGTAGTGATCGACGCATGATAGATAGAATGATAGATAGACAGATGGATAAGGTCAAACTAACTGTGATCAGTCAGTATCAAACCAAAAGTGGCAGAGGCTGAGCTTCCGAGGAGGAGCCAGAAGCGTTGGATGCGATCAGGGATGGGTGAGAGTCTCGCAGCCCCTTGGCGACTTAGCGAAATAGGGTCAAGGCTAAATTTTAACTAGACTAAGTACCAAGAGAAACGGATAGGACCGCGGGACCTCAAACCTGCGTCCACAAAACGAATGTTGCTTGCTGCCACATCTCCTTGGATTCAACTGAGACTCGATTCGATTCAATCCAATCTATTCCTCCTCCCCTCATCCCTCCAACAAACGACCATCATGACATTCTTGTTGACAAGCCAAATGAGCAGGATTATCCTCCTCTTAATACTGTTGATGGAGATTACCTCGGCAGGAGGAAAGAGCAATGTGAGAAAAGCCCAACAAGAAGAAGCGTTTGATAATGTCGAAGATCAAGGACCCGTAGCGCCAGAACAAGGTATTCGAGGTGGATTTCCCGTCCAGCGACCAATTCCGTGGTTTGTCAGCTTTGTTGGGGATGTAGTCTGTGGAGGAGTCTTGGTACGTTTGTTGTGTACTGTTGTTGGCGGTTTATCTTAGGTGGGAAGCTATGGGTAGATATGGGTAGCTACCGCTAGCCTAATGGGTAGATACCGATATCCATATTGTTTGTCACGTCTCAAATGGGCTCTGTCACTCATTCATTTATTATTGGGTCACACTATAGATACACGAAGATATGGTCTTGACAACAGCACACTGCGTCGACGGATTCCAGTACCCCGAGAGAGTCCGAATCGGATCGCTCTTTCGGAATCGCGGGGGAGAAGTTCGCAGAGTGCGACAAGGCAGAACTCATCCCCGTTGGAACGGCATTATCGAAGAGGGATACGATATTGCGCTTTTGAAATTGAATAGTCCCGTCAACAGTTCCTATACACCTGCCACTGTCAACTCTTTCGGAAACGTCCCGCGCAGATTGGAGCGATTGTTCACGGTGGGACATGGTCAGCAAGAGACCGGTGGAGCTCCCCCCGATCGACTGCAGGGACTCCTCTACACGTACGTGGAAGACTGCGAACCTCGCTTGCCGGCGGGTGTGTACAATCCCACCTGGTTTCTCTGTGCCAATGCAAACCCCTCTCGAGGAACCTGTCCGGGTGATTCCGGTGGTCCTGTCGTTGTCAATGGGACCAATATACTCGTCGGGGTAAACTCCTTTTCTCCTGGGGATTGTAACAGACAACAAGTGGATGTGTATTCACGTGTCAGTACCTATTATGATTGGATCATTGCCGAAGTCTGTACCCTGGCTGCCACTCCACCCACCACGGGGTGTCCTCCCGGTTGCTTGTTTGCACCTCCCCAATTGTTCACCCAGGGATTTCAAGCCATGAGAAGCTTTTTTGGGCTCGAACAACCGTAACATAACAAAACAAAACAACAATCTAACTGATCATGGAGGTGTACGGTTGAATTCAAGGACGAGGGATCGAGTGGCTATGCATAATATTCTATAACGGAACGTCTACAGATGATAGAAAGCCAAAGACTTTTTCCGTAGTTCTATCGCCACGTTCTATCCTTCTTCTATCGTCTTGTTACTACAGTTAGCTAGGCAGCGCTAGAATCCAGCAGGCGGAACCGTAAAGGATCCATCATGACTATGACGTTCCGGGGCGAGGGCCAAGACCTTGTATCGGACGCCCATTTGTTCAGGGGACACCAGTCGTTCTAGCGCATAAAACAAGTTTTCGGCTTCCTCGTCCGACGTGGAGTCGAGTTCTATGCATTGAATCACACGGTCCTTGGCACCCATGGATACTAGAAACTGACCCTGTGGGATGGGCCCATAGGCTTTGATAGTGGCGTTGTCGCTCGTTGTTGTTGTTGCTGCATCCTCATCCTGAAACACTCGCCGCCGCGGTTCATTCACGGCATGCTTCAGTGCGGTAAAGTCGACATCGGCCGTCACGTCGGTTTGTCCGGGCAAACTCAAAAAGTGCGTTTGTTGATGTTTCCAAAAGCCGCGCAAAGAGTCGGTACTGCCTTGTTCCCCATAATCGACAATCAAGGCAGCCCCACCCTGTTGTTCCAGTAACGCCGCAATGTCTTGTACCAGAAGAATACCCTCGGGACATACTTCGACGACTTGACCCATGTCGTATTGTTGTCTGTCGTCAACGTGCAGCAGCGTTTGAAGCGCAGGTGTCACTTCGGGTGCCAGGACAATCCGCAGTCGCGGTCGTTTTTGTTGGCTCGTTGTGTGTGGTTCTTTGGGAACAACAACACTATTATTATGTTGTCCCTCTTCTTGTTCTTGCTCTTCTAGCAACTCATCTTGTATGGCAACATCGACCATGCGTTCTCGCCATCCATCTTTTGTCATTTCAAAGGCATGTACCGGCAAGGCATCAAAGAGTTCTTGACAGACGACCATCAATGGCATGTTGGCCATGTCGAGCTGTTCATTACTATTGTCAGTTGTTGTTTTATTGTCAGGATTCCCTTGTTGTTTTTGTTTCTTAATCATGGTGGTCAAGGCAGTAAAAGAGTCATGCCAATAGACGTGAATGGTTGGTTTGGTTGTTGTTGCTTTGTCATCAACTGACTTGTCGTTATCAGCTGCTTCTGCTGTGGTGTCGCTGCTGTTGCTATTATGAAATTTCCAATCCACACTATCCCCCACCTGCTCTTGCAAAGTTGCTTGTTGTTGTGCTCGTAGGGGATGACTGCGTTCAATCAAATGAATGACTTGGAGAGCTTGGGCATATTCTTGCAGTTTGCCAGTTTGTTGACTTTCCGTGACAATAAATCGCACCATGTCGGCCATGAGAATCCCGCGTCCAGGTCCAAATTCGACCCATTGAACGGCAGGAGGTTTGTGCATGGTTTCCCATTGTGTGACCATCCATACTTGAATGGATTCTCCAAAGACTTGACAAATTTCCGGTGCCGTGACAAAATCTCCGCGGGGTCCAAAAATGGGATTGTCACTACTGCTAGTTGTAGTAGTATCATAGTCATCCACATCAAAATCGTCATCATCATCGTCTTCGGCCGCATGTCGATGTGGATTGGAGTAGTATCCGTAGAGTGGATGCAACAAGGCATGTTGCATGAATTCGGCCACCGTCATGGGTCGCCCCAATACTCCAATTTGCGCCGCCAATTCTTCCCACAACGGCGTCGAAGGTTCGTAGTCGGACCAGTCCTGCGGTGCCGATGGCAAATGCACTTGCGGATCGTACAAATCCTTGTAGTCAACGTAGGGGACACTGCTATTATTACTGTTGAGTGTGGAAGAAGTAGTACTGTCGGTTGTGGGAATTTCATACCCCGACGGAAGAATCAATTCGTGCGACGAATCGACGGAAAAATCTGTGCGAATCAACGAGGGTGGTTTGGACAAGGCCGATTCGGAGGGTGGAACCAAGTAGGGAGCCTTTTCTTCCTTCTTGTTATTGTTGTCGTGAGATGTGGTTCCTTTTCGCTTTTGTTGTTGCTCTTTTAGTGCTTGGTTTTTCATTTTTGTGGGACGGGCCTTGCTGCCAAATTCACAACATTGTTGCTTCTGGACTATTCCAAGTTGAGGCGAGGAGCCAAGAGCCGCCATGACAGAGTGTCGACGCCATGAAGCAGCAGCTCGCGTGGTATACAGCAACACCGATCGACGCATCATCTTGCTGGACTTTTTCTTGGGGTAGCTGATGTTTGGTTGGTTTTGTTTGGGGACACCGCTTGTGGTCAAAGATCGACGGAGCGTGGAAAGATCCATGACGCAGAATCGAATCATTTTAACTCTATCCCTTTTCAATCTACCTGGTTTCTCTTCACTCCCGCGGTGGATCGCTCAACTCTTCTCTCAACGCAATGTTGCATCCGTTGGTTTGCTTGCTGGAAAGAATGAGAGATTGAGATTCTTCCCTCTCCAAGACGAGCAACACTACAATCTTGTCAGTCTACTTGTTCTGATCCCCCCCCTGAGCGATGAGGCCTTCTTTAATAGCCAAGATACCACCCATTCTCTATGCGCTCACAGTGCTGGTCGGTTCGATTGGTGGCGTGTGCTTTCATGTCTACGCTTGCTTTCACAATGAAGGCAAGCAAGGGACAACTGTCAATCGAAGAAAGAACCCCACTCCTCCAAGGCGTGTGCCATCACGGTATCCTACAAAATCATGCCAGTTGTCCCTCCGAGAAATAGATTTGGAACCACAAGAAGAACCGTGGATACGTCTACATACCCAAGCACCAACAAGAATCATCACACCGAGAAATCATAGCCAAGAACAAGAAACTACTCAAATTCTTGTCTACGAAGAAAGTTTTGCTGCTGTGGAGGTTCCAGCTGATGCTCCTGTTGATATTGATGTTGATACCAACCTTACCTTCTTGCCGTATGCTGCCAATAGTTCCGTCACGGCCTTTTTATCACCATCCTACCCATCCATCCTATCCAACAACATTACGTACACGACAGCTGTGGATGTTCCAGCTGCTGATCATGTTGATATTGATGTTGATACCAACCTTACCTTCTTGCCATATCCTGCCACTAGTAACATCGCCGCCGTGGCCTTCTTATCACCATCCTACCCATCCTTCCTATCCAACAACATTACGTACACGACTACCGTCGATGACGACCGCGAGGACAAGATCTTCAAGATGTCGCCCATGCAGCAAAGACTGGCGCAGTTGCGCCACAAGTTGCAATCGCTCAACGAGCAAGAACGAGAAACCAACCAGATTCATCAAAAGAAGATTCAGCTCCCATACATCAACTTTGTGTGGTCTCATGGATGAGCGAACGATCATCATGATGCTCTAGTAGTAGAGCTACTACAAGTCCAGAGATTGCTTAGAAGCAAATCATCACTATCGCTACAATTTGCTTTCATACGTGAATATCATATTATGGAGTCCAAGAAAGACACAGCACTCCAATGATCTATGTGGTGCAAACAAACAAGCAATCAGCGTGTCTGGCAGCCGAGAAAAACATTAGGTACAAGGCACACGGTTTGTTTCCGTATTCCACTCCACTTCCAGTATTGATTGGTGTGCCAACATACATACAGACATAATATAGAGTGTACAATTGTTTCAGGATGCGGGTCATTCCAGCAAGCTATTTCAGAACGCATCAACATTGTACCACACCACTGAACCTACTAATAACAGAACTTCTAAGAAACAAACTATTACTTGTAGGCGGGAAGTAAGTGATCGGGAGGAATCCTTTTACTCTACAAGAATTTAAAGTTGCAGTCTTGGCTGACATCACTGCGCTTGGCAACTTGGCCCAAGCAAGAAGAATAGCACAATGCATGTTATTGGGCCATACGTTACTTTACCTCGCTGTTTCACCGCTGACAATGTGCTTATGCTAGTATGGTAGCGTTATGGGTGTCAGACCCCAGGGACCAATCTGGTTGGTGGTACCGGTACCGGTATTAGACAAATGATTAAGTGGCTATTAGCTGTGCAGGCTCAAGCAAACAATGTGTTGAGGGTTTCAAAAATGTTGAGTAGACGTCTGGCTTGGACCAGGACCACACCAGGACCACACTCGGACCTACATGTAACAAGGCACCTCAATAGCCAATCTCCTGGATCAACAAGAGCAATTCTCCCAAGCTGACCTGCTGGCCTGTGGCCGTGCACACATGCATGCACAGTAAAGGTATCACCCCTCTAACAAACCAGGAATACAACCGTGTACCTGGAGTACCAGGCTCTACGTGTTACCCTGTCTTTCCCTTTGTTTTGGGTGTTTCTACCTTTCTCGCTGACTGGAACATCGAACGACCGACTGGCTCGCTGGAACATCGATACTGGTATGAACGAAGGCTTTCGCAAACACACTGACGCATGCGATCGATCGATCACTGAACAGATGTCGCTGACGCAAGAAGAAGAAGATTTCCAGGCAAAAGATCGCAAAGTCCATCAGCAGAGGAAAAGCACGTGAAAAACGCAAAGTCCTCGAAAATCGCTAAGTCAGAACGGCAAAGAGGAAATCCAGCAGATCATAAACAAGATAACAAAACACAACAAGAAACCGATAATTTCTTAACACTAAAATTTCTTAACACATAAAATTTGTTTTTGCTATGCCTACAGCAGGATCGCGCTGTAGGCTGGGTACCACCAAGGCAGTTCGCTCAACGCAAGCGTGGGTGGAAGCCGGTGGGCTGATTCTTCTTGTCGTGCTTGAACTTGTTGATGATCTGGGTGACCGTAAGCCACCCGTAGGTGGCATAGATGCGGTCGACCGCTGCCCTCCAATCGAAGCCCTTCGCCATCAACCGAATCACACAGTCCCACACATGCTTGCGGCGGCAGAACTTGTCCTTGACGCGGCCGCGCTCACGAGCAGTAAACTCGCATGCGGCCTTGTTCCCGTTCAGGCCCTTGATCCACTCGTCCCACAGCTCGTAGAGGTTGAAAGGCTTCTTCGCAAGCTGGGCTGGGAGGGTAGCGGGTGTCGGGGCCCTTGCGGCAGGAGGACGGGCCAAACGCCCAGGACTCAGCGGTGGTGGTGGTGGTGGGGGAAGTCCTGCGCCACCTGCGCCAGCTGCAGCAGCACCACCACCGCCAGCTCCACCACCGCCGCCAGCTCCCGCAGCACCACCGCCGCCGCCAGCTCCACCGGCCGCACCAGGAAGAGGAAGCCTTGGAGCACCGTTGCCACCACCCCTCGCGATCAACTGGAAGTGGTTGATCCTCCCAATATTCTTGTGCACTACGCTAAAAGCTAGTGTAAAGATCTTTCGAGTGTTTTGAGTTTGAGAGAATGAAAGTTATGATGAGAGGATTAGAAAGCTATGAAAATAATCAACGAGAGAGATCACAACAAGGATCGTAGATCGAACTCCCGCGGGAGACTGTAGAGTGTGATAGAGTAGTTGCGGTAGCAATCCTACTCACTCCACGATCCAAAAACGGAACGCGTGGAAGATTCGTCTAGCATTTATCTAGTAGCGTGGAGTACTCCACGCTGGCTAAATATTTAGCGCGA